AAGGTGCAGGAGTACGGGGGCCGTGTTTGTTTGTCTTCTTCAGCTCAGATGCAAATAACGTTTATACATCCCCCCGCATCAGCAGCAACAAAGAAAAATATAGAGACAGAGACAGAGACAGAGACAGAGACAGAAACAAAAGCACAAATAGAGTCAAGAACAGAGACGGAGACAGAAACAGAAACAGAAACAAAAACAAATATGAAAGAATTACACCTTACTGGGCCAGCTGGTGTTGCTGCAGCAGATGTGCAGCAGCAGTTTGAGTGGTTTGCTGCTAGAGGAGAAGAGCTTCTCTCCTCGCTGCAAGACAAAGGAGTTCAATCTGTGTTTCCCCTCGTCAGTCCCCGTGTCTTTGTTCTTTTTTTTTCTGCTCTTGTCTTTGTTTTATTTATTTTATTACATCTATACTGTCTTCACTTCTTTTTATTTATGCTGCACCTGCACAGATGCATGCATGCACCACCACACCTCTACTTGTTTTTGTTTCGGGGGGCAGAGGGGGTATTGTGTTCACGGCGGCGGTTGTTGCTGCACTCTGTTTGCTCTTCTCTCTCTGCATGCATGCTTACACATATACGCGTATAGTTCTGTGTCTACATATACTCATAGCTGCCCTGTATATATATAAATAAATAAATAAATAAATAAATAAATAAATAAATATATATATATATATATATATATATATATATATATGTATTGTATTTGTGTATGTTGCCTCCTTTGCATCTCATAAGAAGACCAGCCCTTGTGTTCGCTGCATATCGCGTTGCTGCTGTTGGGGCTGCACATGCTGCAGCAGCTGCTGCAATTGCTGCTGTATTTGCTGCTGCTGCAGCTGCTGTTGCAGCCAGTACAAGCAGAACAAATGTTTGCATGCGTGCGGTGTACAGACACTGTCTTCGGTTCGCCGAGAGGTGCAGCAGCTGCAGGGGGAGGCAGTGGACTCGAGCAGAGCCTTCAGTGTGAGGGCCAGCCTCTTAGACTTAGAGGGGGGGCAGCTCTTCTGGCTGTGAGCAGCGAGGGCAAAGCACGAGGGTTTAGGGTTTAGGGTTTAGGGTTTAGTTGTTTACGCTGGAGGGTTCGGGGTTTAGAGGATAGGGTTGAGGGTTTAGGGTTTAGGGTTTAGGGTTTAGGGTTTAGGACCGCTATCGACCAGACAAACAAAAGGAGAGACAACTCAACAGCAAGGACAGTCTTATTGCTGCTGCAGCAGCAGCAGCAGCAGTATGTGTCTGTAGGTTTGCTGCAGCAGCAGCATTTATATTATCTCGTGGTTGCTTTGCTGCTGCAGCGCATGCCCCCAGTGCAAGCGGAAGCTGCAGAAGACAGCAGCAGCGCCGGCTNGTTGCTTTGCTGCTGCAGCGCATGCCCCCAGTGCAAGCGGAAGCTGCAGAAGACAGCAGCAGCGCCGGCTGCTGCGGGCGTCCTCACCTGCACCGCCTGCCGCAAGGCAGTGAAACCCGAGCAACGGTGTGTTTCCTTGGCTGGGTCTAGGGTTTAGGGTTTAGGGTTTAGGGTTTAGGGTTTAGGGTTGGTTTTGTATGTTGTTGCTTGTGTCTGTATTTCTTTCTCTGTCTCTGCTCCTCGGTATCTCTCTGTTTTTGTCTGTCTGGCTGTGTGTTTGTCTGTCTCTCTCGAGACAGACACGACAGTTGGTGTTGCTGCATGCACTGAAGCAGCTGTCTATACACCGCATTCGTTAGTGTTGCTGCATGCATCGCGCGAGCTGTGCATACACTGCACTGCATGCAGGTGGAAGCTGGGGCTGAAATTAATTGACGGATCGGGGACGATCGACTGCGTCGCTCTGGGGAGGCAGGGCCAGGTCAGGCTGCTGCTGCAGCTGCCGCCACTGCTGCTGCTGATGCTGCTTTGCTGTTGCTGTTGCTGATGCTGCTGCTCTGCTGCTGTTGCTGCCGTGCTGGTGCTGGTGGTGTTGTCCCTCTCTCTCTTGTTCTATCGTTGCTTGCTAGTTCTGTCTCTCACACAGGTCTTCTTTGTCTCGTTTTTCTCTTTCTTTTGTTCTTATTTTGCTGTTATTTCTGCCGATGCTGTTGCTGCTGTTGCTGCTAACACAACGACAGCACTTTTGCTGCTGCTGCTGCTGCTGCTGCTGCTGCTGCTTGTGTTGGTTTTACTATGGTGCGTGGCGTTGCCCGTGTTGTGGTCTGTGCGTTGGTTATTACTGTTATCTTTTGTTGCATAGTTTTATTCTTTTTGTTGTTACTTTGTTTTACTTTTTTTTAATTGAATAAACAGGAAATAATGAAAATAGTTGATGTGACAGCTGAAGGCCTCAGCAAGCTCGAGGCTGGAGGCACAGACACCCGGGGCCGCACCTTCACCGACATTCTGCAGCAACTCATTTTCGCGGTAACAGCTTGCAATGCACTCAGTTATATAATTATATTAAAACACCTGCAGTAGTAGTAACAACAGCACCAGCAACAACACCAACAAATAGCAGCCGGAGAAACACTTGCTGCAGGTGCAGCAGTAGCAGCAAAACCAGCAACAGAAACAGCAGCGAAAGCAGTAGCAGCAGCAAACGCAGAAGCAGCAACTGTGACAATGCTAGTGGGAGAAAGATCTGCACCTGTGTGAGGTGTACATACACCCCACCCCTCCGGGGTACCGGCTTGAGAGCTCCTTGAAATTTTAATATGTAACTTAATTTCTTCTTTTGTTTTTTCTCCTCAGGAATTCAGGTTTGATCTTGTCGCCAAGTGCGGTATCTACAAGGAGAACAAGACAGTGCAGATAGTGAGGCTGCATATGAAAACCTAAACCCTAAACCCTAAACCCTAGCCTGCCGTGCTGTCGGGTTCCGGGTGGTTAGCGGATCAGCGAGAGCCATCGCTCCAGTGGATGTTCAGCTCTGGCATTCAGCGTTTAGGGTTTATGCTCTAGGGTTTAGGGTTGACGATCAATTGCTTAGGGTTTAGGGTTTAGGGTTTAGGGGTTACTTGTGTTTGTGTATGACTTGGTGTGTTTCTTTCCCTCAGCTTGTACGGAAAGCTTCGCATGCGAGCGAAGACATTTGGCTGCAAGTGCAAGATAGCGTACGCCTCACAGAAAGACTCCTCGCCTCTCATCATGCTGCGGGCCAGCAGCAACTTTAGNGCAAGATAGCGTACGCCTCACAGAAAGACTCCTCGCCTCTCATCATGCTGCGGGCCAGCAGCAACTTTAGGTCTATAAACCATAGACCCTAGACCCTTGTATTACTCCTTTTCTGCATTGAGAAAGAGGATTTTTTTTATTTTTTTGTTCGTTTGTGGTGACAAACGAAGCAACAAATTAACAAACAAATAGAGTCAACCACAACGGAATAGACATGCATGCACGTTCATGTTTCTACTTTTTGCGTAGCAGCTGATGGACTATGGGTGCAGCTTTTTTCTTTAGTTTCTTATAACAATTGTTCTTTATTGGATATACTGATACTTATACATTAAAACTACTTTTAGGTGTTAACGGGAAATGCCTGAAACTGAATTTTGCTGCGAGAAGAGAACGATGTTTGTTTGCCAAGCATCTCAGAATGAACTTCAATAAATAAACAATTGATATGCGTTTTAATTCAATCGAAATGATTGCACACATTAAATCTATTTAGTAAATTTGGCCGTCTAAGAGAATACTTTTCTATGAAGCGAATTCAAATTCAATGCATTCTGTGGCTTGAATAAATTAAAGAANTCTAAGAGAATACTTTTCTATGAAGCGAATTCAAATTCAATGCATTCTGTGGCTTGAATAAATTAAAGAATTTGAATATGTTGAACTAAACTGGAACAGACGATTCACGTGAGCATTTTAATTCAACAATTTTCGTAATTATCGAGATGAGGATATGCACAGTGAGCTACGGTGTTTTTCTGCTATATATGCTTTCCACTCACAGTTATTTATTTTATGCGCTTTATCTGTTCTATGTTATTTATTTATTCATTTACATTTCAATTAGTGCACATGAGGAGCGAGAGGAGCTGCTAAGGAGGCCGCGTGCTATACCAGAACTCGATGGTATGTCTGCGTGTCGCCTCGATGATGGGCGCGCATCCGGACGGTGTTCTTTGACATTTTCCTGCGGAATTTCGCCGAAAAATTCACTTGAATCAGTTAAACTGAATTATATTTCATCATTTATTCGAATCAAGCTGAAAAAATCACCATTTGAAACGCCACCACCGCGAAATATCAAGGCGCCTGTTGCGACCGAAGGCAGTAGAGAGGCCACCGCTAGCTCGGCCCCACACGGAGGGTTTTTTTCTGTTGTTTTTTGTGTTTATCTAATTGCGACATTTCAACATTTGAACTTATTTTAGTTTTCTCCTTTCATTAAAATACACATTCTTCCGTTGGAACGCCCCTAATCGCGTTGCTTTCCCTGCCGCGCGGCCGTTTGGGTNTTAAAATACACATTCTTCCGTTGGAACGCCCCTAATCGCGTTGCTTTCCCTGCCGCGCGGCCGTTTGGGTAGACCACTGTAGAGCTCTGATACTGAAATCTGGAGCTGTTTTCCCTTTCGTATTACATTTGTTTGTTATTTTTTCGTGCTTAAAATGTCAAAGGGGGAGAATTCAGTCGAAGAAAACCCCAAGGCCCCCACGGCCACCACCCTGTGGTGTTGCCCTTGCCTGGCGAACGCCTGCCGCTGCAGCAGCTGCTGCTACAACTGCTGCAATAAAGGGGCCCCCTGCCCGTTCTTCTACTTCTGCTTTCCCTGCTGCTGCTGCTGCTGCCGCCCGAGTGGAGCGATTAAGGGCGTCGACGAAGAGGAAACTGTTGTGCCCCCTAAGGAGTTGCCTGCTGAAGAACCCGCTGAAACTGCAGCAGAAGGCGGTGAACAAGAGGAGGAGGAGGCTCAGGCAGAGGAGGGAGAAGCAGCAGAAGGTGCTGCGGCTGGGCCAGAAGAAGCAGCTGGAGCGACAG